TTCTTCTTCTTCTTCTTCTTCTTCTTCTTCTTCTTCTTCTTCTTCTTCTTCTTCTTCTTCTTCTTCTTCTTCTTCTTCTTCTTCTTCTTCCTAATCTTCAGTGTCTTGAACCTTGTTTTTTTTCATACTGCAAGTATCTCTTACCAGAGTTATACGAATCTTAACACAAATCCATACTAATGTTTTTACCAATTTGTATGATTAAATCCTGTTGTGAGCTTTCTTCTCCCAAAACAGACTTTATTTATGATGAATTAGTAAAGAAAATAATATCCACCTTGGTTCAGATGATGATAGTCTAACAACTACAGTATTTGCTTGATGACCAACTGCATTAATCTCCACAAAATAGCAAGTCTAAAGATTTGCTATTTTGTAGAGATTAATGCAATTGGTCATCAAGCAAAGAATTGAACTGTTGGAGGCAGAGGATTTGTTGAAACAATGGTCAGTTTCTGAAACAAACATTTAATGATGCTCAATTTTAATTCCAAAGGAGTCAGATTTCTTTGGGTGCTTAGATCAGATGTTCCCCAACCCAGTGCCCTTCATACATGTTGTAGGTGTTACACCTAAGATTCATAGCCCAGTCTGCCCAAGAGCTGTGAATAATGATCTCAATGCATATGCAAACACTCAAGACAGATTTATTTATGGACCTTCTCACTTGGGAGACTGAAGAAGCACAAGGCAATTGCAGGTAGAAAATATTTGTAGCACTCCTCTGCGAAACTGATAGAAGAAAGCATGATGTATTAGAATCCCAAAATATCCTAGAATTAAGAAGAAATTTCCTGTCAATGGGAAAAATAGTGGAACAGCTTGCCTTCAGAAGTTGTGGGTGCTTCATTACTGGAAGTTTTTAAGGAGAGATTGGACAGCCATTTGTCCAAAAACGGTATAGGCTTGAGCAGGGGGTTGGACTGGAAGACCTCCGAGTCCCTTCCAACTCAGATATTCTCTGATTTCTAATATCTGCAGCATTCCAAATTTGCAGTAAGAACCAGTTTTGTTTAATAATTCACTTAAGAATCAAGTTAATTTTTAATTAGCTAATGAATTAACCAAATTGACTGAAAGGTCTGCTGGTATCCATTGCATATTCAATATATTTGATCCTTGGAAAGCTTGATCTAAAACCCACGCTGATTCCTCAATTATTTCTTAATTTGTATTTTATTGGTTATACCATTATGTATCTCAAGCCTAAGAGATACTTTCCATGCATATGGAATGCTTGCTAATTAATATGAAAATGCAGCTCAAAACTTTTAAATGAACCTGGACTATATAGATCCTTAAATCCATTCATCTTAGGAATTTTGGAAGACCTTTTCTACAGAAAGCAGAAACGCACATCACCATTGCATCAGACTTGCCTTTTGCCTAAGAGGAATCTGGGAGAGGAGTAACAGCTCTTCACAACTTCAAGGAGTGTGATTATTGTCTGTGGAAGATTTTGAGGTCCTTAACCTACTTTGAGGAAGGGAATTATCCATGCTGCTACCTCTATTAAAACAATTGCCCTCAACACCACTGACTCATTCCTTCCATGGATTGCTTATTAGTGATTTCTTAGCAGCAACAGGAGCACACATTCCCATTTAGACATAAGAGCCTGGTGGGCATTTCATTTCCTTATCCTTTTTAGGAATAAGGGCAGAGATCACAACCATTGATTAGTTCTTCTTCTCATTGTTGAGGTTCTTAGCCAGCCACATGCATAGACATTTCTTTAACTAATGTATTCTCTGTTTTCTTTGTTTAAAAAAAAGATGGTTCTTTCTTTTCATGGCTTTAAAATATAACTATAAATGACTATCACTAAAATAAGAGCTTTGTACCCACTTCAGTTCTGACAAAGAAAGATACATCAGAAGAGGATTTTGGGATAGTATGGAAACAGAATTGTTCCAAATTAAACACTAGCACTTAAAAGATGGGTTTAGTGGAACAATGCAACTATGAAACTCTGTGTATGTGTAGCTTGGGAGGGATGTGGTTATGTCTCAGATTTTTAGTTCTTTTTTTCAGTAGTGGGAATATAGTTTGAGCTCTTTTAGTTTCAAGTGGCAAAGAGATGGAATGAAAATGCATATGAAATGGGACAACTTGCCACAGCCAACTTGATGCGCCCAACTCTCCGCTGCCAACTCATCACGGCCAACTTGTCAAGGGGCAACTTGTTATGGGAGAATTTAACAATGTGATTTAATTATTTAAAATATTTTAAAAATATTTTAATTTTTGTGATTCGCATTTAATTTTCCCATCCTTTTGCATCCTTTCTTTAATGATTCTATTCCACCATTTCTTTGATATTGTCTCACAGGGAGTTGTCCTGTGATGAGTTAGCTGTGGCAGGTTGGCCGTAGCAAACTGGCTGTAGTGAGTTGGCTGTGGTGAATTGTCATAGACCGGTGCCTGTAGACACAATGTATCCATATTCTTTTATATCTCAAAGAACAGCTATCTGCATTTACAAGATGAGTCTCAAAACAGTTGTCTCCCCTCTGCCAATATTTCATTTTAAGTGTGTTATCTGACTTTGAATGGACTTTGAAATATTTTATATTTTAATTTTAATTAATTGAATTAATTAATTAATTGAAATTTTAATTGTATTTTGGTAGCACTGCATAAGCTGTTTCCATTGTTTTTTGTATTATACTCTAACACTCATCACCTTTATCATCACCTATCTCCTCCCACTTATGACTACAGGACTGTAACTTTGTTGCTTGTATCCTTACGATTTATATTGATATTGATTGTTTCCTGATTGCTTATTTGTACTATCATTAGTGTTGAAACTTATGATTCTTGACGAAAGTATCTTTTCTTTTTATGTACACTGAGAGCATATGCACAAAAAGACGAATTCCTTGTGTGTCCAATCACACTTGGCCAATAAAGAATTCAATTCAATTCAGTCCCACTCCACTCCACTCTATTCTTTATGAGTTAACACCTGAACCACAAACAAACCCTTGAAATGCTCCTTGGTTTTAAAAGGAAAGAAAATATTTTAGTTTTTTAAAGGGTAACAACAGTTCACACTTCGCTGCAGCAAATTCTTATTTCTTTCTGTCTTTTGCCTCCATGTCCTTGCCTGTGCTATTATTTATCATTATGCTAGAAACCAGGAGACTCTGAATTCTAGTTCCAACCGAGGCATGAAAGCTGGCTGGGTGACTTTGAACCAGTCATTTTCTCTCAACCCAACTTATTTCACAGGATTGAAAAGAGGAGGAAGAAGGAATATTAGGTATGTTTGCTGCCTTGGGTCATTTATAAAAATAATAAATATGGGATGAAAAACAAAACAAAATAAAATAATGAATGAATGAATAAATGAATGAAACAAAAAACAAAAAATAAATCCCATTGTTTTGCTTACTGTGATGTCCAGGTCATGTTCATCGCATGTCCGATACTGTCGCCTGAATGCCATGGTGGTGGACGTTGCATCCTGGGTCAATGACAGCAGCTCATAATCTTGCCTTTCATCCTCCAGGATGGTATCCTCATTCACACCATGCCAATCCTGAGTGAAATAGGAAGAACTCACAAATATGTTGCCCATGGATAGAGGAAGAGACTATCATTTGGACAAGAGACCATCCAGTTAGAGACACCATCACCAGAATGAACCTCCCTGGAGACCTTGGACCAATCATTCTATTCATATCTCATTGATCTTGCTGCAGGATTGCTATAGGTAGGTAGGAGAAAGGTGTGTGTATGAGTGAATATGTATATATATATATATATGTGAATAATTGAACTAAATGCTGCATCTGGCTATTAAATATGGGATTAGGTTGCATTGATGTAAATGTGTGTGTATATTTGTATACACACTTTAAAAACATAACTATGTTGTTAGGCTTAAGGGTAAAAATTACCTTGTAATTTGGTAGGAATAAGCTATATTTCTTGATATTACAATGAAGAAAAAATCATCCTAGAATTCAAGACATGATAATTAGCTCTGAAATTTTGCAGGCATGCTAGGTTGCCCAGACTTTCCATTTCACAAGATTCAGTAGTAAAATTAATAGTTTCTGAATAGGAAAACATCCCCAAGACAAAATAAACTATAGACATTTCACTATCTCCTTTAAAGAAAGACAGATTTCTTTTTCTTATTTTTTTGAGGTTTTAGAGAGCATTGCTTTTAAAGCACAAATTATGCCTCAAAAATAATTATTTCTATGCCTTCCAACATAAACTAAGCAAGCCAAAACTGCAGAAGCCATCAGGGATTTATTTATCTATATTTTGCATTTTTTAATCCATCAAATATTCTTTTTCTGCTATGCCAGCCAGCAAGAGTGAGAATATGTGGCCCTAGCAATTCATAAATGACACTGCAGCTACCTCATTGGTCATGTGAAACAATCACATATAAATTCATTTGTACCTTCAAACTACAAACTATCCCCCTCCCCTCCTCAATTACGTGCACTGACCCAAGCCCCTAATGAAATGGCACTCTTGATTTAGTCTTACTGAGAAATAGATGTTGCCATCAGGAAGAACACCACCAATCACGAAGTCTGCTCCAGGAATCTTTTTATTAATGGTGAAGCCAAAAGCCACCCATCCAGTTGACTGGGCTTGAAACTCAAAACTCATAATGGCAAGTTCGTCATCATAGTCCCATCGGAGGTAAGTCTGGTGTATGGGATCCAGGAACGAAGAGAAACGCAGCCGGGAAACTGCAGAATGGCTGGAGCAAATGCATAAGGTGGACATGAGGAACAGCAGGCTTTTCATAGACGAATGGTTCATATTTGGGGTACATTGTGCTTTTTTGTTGTCTCTCATATCTTTTGACAGAGCTTTCCTCCAATAACCACTTTGTGGGGTGGAGGAGACTCAATTTATATGAAAAACTAGGACCAGCTGGGATCCTTGCCAAAGAGGAAGGACAGCATTTTGGATTCTACAAGATTAAATTTCAGCCCTGGCATTTGTTTTTCATTTTATGCAATAAAGTGGCGTGCTTCCCAAAAGGCATTGCTTGATGACTCCCCCCCGCCCCCCGGAAAGAAGGTCCTTCTTGTGTCCAGGTTTTGCACAATGCACGTCTTCCAAAAGCATTTGGGATGACATAACCTCTCCTGAATGTGAAAGTGAAGTAGAACATTTCTGAATTGTATGAACATTTTGACCACCACTAATTTTGCTGGTGTTTTAATCTGAGGAAAGAAAGAGAAGAAAAGTCATGCACTATCCAGGCAGTTTTCTATGATTACCTACTAAGTTCCAACTGCACTATGTGTCCTACATTCTTCTGTATGAACAACAGGTTAAAAAACACTATCAAACTAAACAAATATTCCAAAATTGTAATTATTGGTTCATTTAAGTAAACTAAGCCTCTGCAATCAGCTATTCTTATTTCATTTTCCTCTTATTCCATTAGATAATACATTACAAGAGATTCCCAATCTTCCCATACTATTAGTGTGGATTTTTTAAAAAAAGATTAATCATCACTTAAATAGGCTAATCTGTTGGGAAAAAAAGAGAGAGAAAACTGTGAAGAGAACACTTAATCCACCTCTTTAGCAAAGGATTTCAGTAATTGGCATCCTTGTATTTATTTTGGATTGTCCTTTTGGCATCCTGGCTGTGTTTTTAATGTGAATTTGCCCATGTTCCCTTCTAAAGTATTTATTTATTTATTAAGAATCTGAGAGCAATTGAGGCAAATCAGTTGGATCCAGTCAGGTTTTTTAAAAAAAGAGTCACATTCAAATGTTGATGATTTAATTGGCATGTTTATGTTGTTTTATTATGTCTGAGAATTATATAGAAATATTTGTTATTGCCATCTTCTATTTTCCTCCTAATTTAGCACTGTTGCTTAGCACTGTTGGTTACTTAGTGTCTGTCTGTCTCTACTTTTTCTCCCTAGAAACAATACAAGACCACAGTGATTCTTATTTATTCTTTAAAAACATGTATTAAATGCAAGTAGACTTAGTAGAAGCCTGGACTGACTGTGGCACTACCCTGTGAGTATAGTAACTTATGTTTGTTGATGTTTATTTTGTGTGTAGAGCTAACTAAAGACAAGTAAAGTGCCCAAGCAGTATCAAAGATGGCGTAGAAGGTTTCTGCAATCTCATCTATATTGGCCATGGTTTAGCATTGACAACCTGGACACTGCCATCATTCTCTAATGACCAGCCTGTGTTTCACTTCCTTTGGCCCATTATGTTGCTCCACAGCCATCAGAAATGTCTGTCTGCTAATCAGACAGTCTGTCTGCTAATTGGCTCACATTGCTGTGAATGTGTGTGATATTTTTATTGTCAAAGGAATGAAAAGATCAAGATACATTTTAAAACGTCACATTGGTTTTAACAGAAAAGACACACAGACATGGAATCTCCCAGGAACAATATCCTAATGTACTTCTAGCATGACCTGAAGAACAATTCGTTTGTAATCCTAGTGGATAAAATCTTTGTACACTGCATGCACAGATGTACACACACAAACTCAATTATTTATTTATTTTAAAAAAACCAAACACATCCTGAAATGCCACAATATTATATGTTAGCAAAATGTGGGTTCTTTGATGTATCTATTTTCATTTTGTGTAATTCCAGATGAAGGTTCAGATTGATACTCATGCAAGACCACCGGCCCATTCTTCCATCACATGGCATAACCAGAGTTTTGCAATTATGATTGATTGAATATGTGCCATTAAATCATTGTCAAACTCTTAGCAACCACATCGATCCTAACCCCCATGACAATCCTAACCTGGTCTTTCAGGTTGTCAAAAGTGCACTCTCTTGTCACTGTAACTTATCAACCTTGCTGCTGGTCATCATCTTCTCTTCTCTTCCTCCTTTCCCAGCATTAGAGCCTTATCTAGGGAGCTAGGCTTCCATTAAATTTTTCTGAAACATGATAATTGGAGTCTGGTTATTTAAAAGGCTGTTTTGAAAATGACAATGAGTTTGAAGGGGGACTTTGTGTTCTTATTAGAAGAAATTCCTCATATAGGTCACTTTCCCTCTCCTAGGAACCACCTGGGTGTTGCTATGATTAGGGAAAGAAGCCCACATGCAGCACTGCCAGCATGTCAGCAAGGGAAAGCTTTGCCACCATGCAAATTGTTCTGTTTTAAGGCTATGGCATGTACAGTTTATCAAATCCCTGATTACATTAAAAATAAAACTCCCAGGACCAATGTTGCAATGGCTAATGTGAGCTGGAATTAAAATGGAATAGTTTCCCAGAATGTTCTGTCCCTACAATGCACACAACAAAATCCAAGTGACCTGTTATGTTTGTAGAAAGGAAGAAGTTTTCATGTTTAGGTGTGGAGCTGAGTGATGTAATGAGATGCCTAGGTAACAATCAATCACAAAGCACTGATTGGCTGATATAAGCTTTATATACCGTATTTTTCGGAGTATAAGACGCTCCGAAGTATAAGACACACCTAGCTTTTGAGGATAAGAAAATAAGAAAAAAAAATCTGACTCCCAGCAATTTGCCAGCTTGCAGCAAATAGCAAACAGTACAGACGATATACATTGTTTGTGGTGTGTTTCTGTGCATGTATGCCTGACCCATAAAAATAGCAAAGAATTGGAGAAATGTACATTATGGCAGTATATTAATGCCAGAAAGTTTTCTTAAATGTAGTCACGCTAACTCCTCCCAATTATTTAAATAGATCTACTCCAAACATGACTAAGTCGGAGTCTAACTCAGCTACATTATCTTAATACTATAACAAGACACTGTTACATTTCAGACTATATTTGTACTGATGCTGTTAAAATTCACGTGGCTTTCTGGAAGTATAGATTATTCTCTGCTATTTAAAAGAAGATACAATAGCACTGGGTCTCTTCAG